CATAAATTAGGGAAGATTCATGTCCAAAGTTTCAGCAAAAAGGTATCTAATAGCTTTCATTTGAAGACAATCTAAGAGCTTAATAGTTAAATTTTCTTTCTAAATATTTTTTGGAATTTGTCAAAATGAAAAAGTTATCATGCGCAAATCTTCAAATCTTATATATATCTTATGCAAGATATTTTTAGATTTACTAATAGTAATCTTAAAGATTCTATATGGCTGTTATAGAGGGGTAATTTTACAAAGAGCGTTCTACTATAAATATGGTTGTTGCTGTTATAGGTTAAAAGCCGATATAGAGAGGTAAAATATAACTTGAAAAATCGATTCTGAAGATTTTCACGTCGCATGATTTTCACGGCCAAATTAATGAGATTATAAGATAGCATTACTTTCAACTTGCGTAAAGAAGTTGAATACAACAACAATATCAACCGAGTAATCATCCCATTAGTAGGGTCTGGGGGTAGAGTGTATGTAGACTTTATCCCTATCCCAGAGGGTAGAGAGATTGTTTCCCGGAGACCCTCGTCTCAGAGACAAAAGATCTGTAACAACAACAGAAACCAGATAAATAGTATCAGCATCGTAAGAGACAACAAATAAGTGGAAGGACAATAATTATGCTAATAATAACATTGAAAAGAATAAAAATAAAAATAGTGTGATGAACAAAACCGCCAGCAGTCTTAGACAAAACACTATTAGACTAGCTGGAACAACGAGGAAAAATGCTGAACTACCCCCTACCCTACAACCCTAATGCTCGACCTCCACACCTCCCTACCCAGGGCCATGTCCTCGAAAATCTGGCGTCGCGCCATGTCCTTCCTGATTACCTCGCCCCGATACTTCTTAGGCCGCCCTCTACCTCTTCTCGTACCTGTCAAAGCCAACCATTCATACCTCCTAACCAGGGCATCTAGGCTCCTCCTCCGCACGTGCCCGAACCATCTAAGCTCGCTTCCCGCATCTTGTCATCTACGGGAGCCACACTTACGTACCTCTCCCGAATATCTACATTCCTAATCTTATCCAGCCTAGTGTGGCCGCATATCCATCTCAACATCCTCATTTCGGCTATTTTTATCTTCTCGATATGAGATGCGTAAAGAAGTTGAATACTATCAATAATTGTACACTTCACCTGTGTCGTTAAAAATGGAGATAGAGGAACAGTTGTCTTGAAGCATAGGGCATATATGTTTTGACCGAGTTAATAAATGGAAAGAGTAATTGCTAGGTGAGGGGGCTCCTGTCCACCTGTTTGGTTAAAGTATCTGCAGGGGCTGACTAATTTTGAAGAGCAATATGTCCACATTGTAATAGATGGAAAGGACACGAAGGATTGGTATCAAAAGAATTAAAGTTTACGGGTTCTTGCTACCGCAAATTATGATATAGTATACAATAATAATTGAATTCACGTCAATCCATATATTACGTACTACTATATCCGCCCCTAAGGATTGGGGCCTCTTCTAAGCATATTTAAGTTATATATATTATATTGTTAATGTAAAAGAATTTCACATTATCACTGTGATCCAACTGTATGTAGCAGGTTGTTGTTCTCTATATTCTGAGCTATTATATCATATGCCACGAAAATTTATATGTTAATGTAGAGAGGGCGGAGCTAGAGGGCAGAACTAGAGTGTCGGCTTGGTACAAATTATTAGTTTAGGATCTAATAAATTAAAAATATTAGAATTTAGGATTCATAAGTTTTAGTTCTTAGCGAATTTATAGATGAACTTAATCTAATAATATAAACATTTTATACGGTAGTAGTACACATAGCTTAAACTCTTTAAAATCTACTTGGACTGACACACTGCTTTTGGATTCAACTGCATGAGAAACGGTAATCGCCATAACTACGCTGTAGCCTACCAAACAAGCAAAGAAGTGGATCAAGCTTCATAAATGCTACATACTGGTCCTTCCACTGAGGGGGTGCTAGCGAGTTAAGTTACTGACTGAGTTGTAACTAATAAAGAAGACATATTAAAGAAAGTATTTTACCTATACTATGCATGCAGTGACAATGTAAAAGAAAATGTACTTTATTATTTAGTCTGTATTATCACACCAATTACAATTTACCAAGTTAACAATAGATATTTAGTATAGAAATTTCTCCGTAGTTAACTTATCATCTATATCTATCTATACTATATTAAAAGCATGAAGGCCCTTAACGAAAAGTCGTTCGCCTTTTTTACCCTTTAAAAATAGAGTTCACACTGGACAAAATAATAATTCTAATATTTTCCTATTATGTAGGAATGATCATTTAATTATTTTCCTAATAACTGGGATATTGGAATCAACTATAATTCTGAATATTTATTTTTTCCACATTTAGGATTCTATAAGCAATTAATTTTTTTTCCATATAGATTTCTTTATTTAAAGCCCATTAATTAAAGTTGTTGTAACTATAATATATTTTTTTTATTCAAAACTTAAAAATTAAGAAGTTGTATTTGTACTACCCCTTTTTCGTCCGTTTAGCACTACTATGAAGCTACTAAAAATAGGCACACATAAAGCTATATATAACACAATAGTAAAATACTCCTTATATTTGTCAAAACTAAGAGGAACATCGAATAATTAAAAAAATTAAGAAACAATAGTTGTAAAAAAAATTGTTAATTGAACTTTCTCTTGAAATTTTAAATGATATTACAAATTTATTTTTTGACAAGTTTGTCTAAGTATTTTGTTTTTACATGTTATACGTAACGTAGGACTCATTTTTAAAATTAAGTTTTTAATGTTTGATTTAGTTTTTTACAATTTTTTGAGGCTATTTTCCTTCTAATGTCTTTTGTAATATGACATATTTCAGGTATTTAGATTCTTAATTAAAATCAATGGTTTAAATTTTTATCATACATTAATAATTTTTTAATATTAATAAATAAATTGAAAAGAATAATCGAATAGAAAGAAGATTGATTTATCTCGTTTCTAACTATCAATATTCAATTTAGGTAAATAAATATGACATGAACCATGGAATAGGTTATAATTGTGCAGAAGATAAAAGAGTTGTATCACTGTTATTATCATTTTGGAAGTGCAAGTACTTTTATTTTGTACTTATGTAAAGAATTTTGTGTTATTAAATTTAATATTTAATATTTAATATTTAATGCCATTAAAGGGCAATTCGAACATTACATAAATGTTATTAGATTTTATCATGTGAATTTTGTTTCGTTATAAAAAAATAAAAATAAGAGAGGTGAGCGTAATTCTCAAACTGCAATAGAAATTTGTGTTATAAGGAGGATCTCAGAGGAAAATTTTCGAAATTATCCAAATTGTGATTATAGTTAAATATTAAAACTTGGAATGAGTTAATATTAACTTTTAATTAATGAAAAAAATATTAGCTAAGTAGCAAAAGAATGCAATTCAATTTTTTCCCCAAAATTATCATAAAAGTAAAAGTATTTTCCAATTGCCAACTCGGTAAATAAACTTACTATTTTTTCATTTGAACACCTCAACTCGTACATATGTGAGCTAGTAAACACATTTGATCATTGACTATGCTTATGTGGCAAGAACACAGGTGACATGGACAACTTGCGAGAAGCTCACATAATCAACGCGCGTGAGTACAATAATTTTGGATTAAAACTTTTTTACAATTAGGAAAACAATAATAAATTAAAAAGAAAGAAAGACTCCCATCCTATCCCTTTCTTTACCAGTATACCCTTTCCCCCTTCTTCGTCGATCTGTATGATAAGGGCAAAAGAGACGAAGCAACCGCCATGGCTGCAAACCTCAATTACACCATCAAAATAGTGCCTTCCGGGTCGCCCCGCCAAGATACGGGCCGCTCTATTTGCCCCGACAAGCTCTAGACAATCTTAATCAAACAACAACAACAACAACAACAACAACAAAAATAACAATAACAATAACAATAACAATAACAATAACCATAACGATGATGATGACCATAACGATGACGATGACGATGACGATGATAGCGACCATTGTGAAACCCTTATCAGGATTTAATGCCGGCTAATAAAGAAGAAGAAGAAGAACAAGCAACAACAGAAAGGGCAGCTCAGTGTATGCAAGCATTAGTAGATGATTTCACAAATAACACTAAAGCAGCCCAGTTTTCCCAATTGAATTTAACAGAAATAAGAAGAGAAGTAGAAAAGGGATAAAATAAATTGACTAATTTTTTCCATTTGGGGTTTGGTCGGAAGCTTTTCCGGCAGTGTCTTCTTTTACTGGTTTTGGGAGAGGGGGGAGTGTTCAAGTGGAGAAGAAAGTAAAAATAAAATGAGATTTTGATAAATTAATTTTAAAAGTGGGGTCCACAAATAACACATGTCAAGCAATAAATTGTCTAGCATGACGTGTTTGACATGTAAGCGCAATTGATATACACGCTCGATTGGATGTGTTTATTAGTAATCATTCCGTCAAGTTGAGATGTTCAAATAGAAAAATTATAAGTTTATTTACCAGGCTGGTAATTGGGTGCAAGTTTAATTGGCCAGGAGGCCATTTTGCCTATCAAGAATATAAGGGGGATCCATACTTTTATGTTAAGAGTGTTAAAGTGGGAAAACCTAATTCTAGAAAGGTCTAACATTTGGGCCCGTTTGCTCATCAAACTGTCCCATTGGGACCATGTAAGTTTTCATTTGCTTACCCATGCGGTAACTCCATGATTACAATTTGCTCATTTTCTTCCTTTTTTTTAGGACCATTGCATTGAAGACACTTTGTCATGAAACATGCCAACATCAAGCTAGGCTACTCATAACCAATCCAGGACCAAACTACCATAACTACCATCTTAACTTACCTACAAGTCATAAGAGATTATTCTCCTGGCCTCAGACTTCACGATTTTCATAGCTGTGCCTCACCATCTATAATCCATTATCACCATGTCAAAGGAAGACAATAATACTGATGAGAAATGAAAAATGGATGCAATTGTGTGAGCAAAGGAAAGCCTCATCTCAAAATATCCTCAAAGCTAAACATTTTCCACCAATAATATAATGTCAATCAAAATGGAAATTTGATACCCCTTTGGTGGGACTGACAATTCAAGAACTTTCAGCACGGTTGAAAAACAGTTTGTTGCGAGTTGAGTTCGTCTAGCTTTTCCAAAAGTTTCAAAACTAGGATCAACAACTTCAACAAAATGTATGCACTGACCTTAAAAGAAAAATTATTGTTAGATCACTAAATTCTGTGTTTAAACTTCAATTCTATGCTCAGCTCGGCTCATGTTCATGTAATGTCCCCCTATGCGCGGTGAGAGAACAAGCTGCAATTCTGGCCTGCATCAGAAGATGATTGGGCAGAGTAGTTTAGGTTAATTAAATCTAGTAAGTAAGACCTGAAATGAACAGAATTAGTTCAAACTGATGGTTTCTATTATGACCCCTACCTATAAGCTTCATCAAAATAATCCAATAAAGAACCACAATCAATATATCTGCTCAATGAAGTGGAGGGTGTCAATTGGTCTTCTTTTCCAGTGTTTCTATACTTATACTACTGTATTTGAGTGTTGATAGTACTTATAAGAAAACGATAAGTGGTAAGAAGAACATTAAAACCAGTCAAACTGACCTTATAAAAGAGTTGAGAGAAAGATTCGCCACTTGGTACTGCTACCTGAAAGTAATAGAGCAGACGACAACCATAAAGATCAACATGAATCCAGATCAACGGATTTCTCTTCTGCAAAAGTGATAAATAACTACTAATGAAAACTTATGGTAAAATAAGGGTCACCGTCTAGTGAAATTTGGCTCAAGCTAACAAAGTAAACAATCAGCATACACAAACCCTTGAAGATTGAAGCACTAAATAGTCAAAATTTTCAAGTTGAATTCTAGTAGGAAGAGTTAACATTCTCTTATTACTGTACCTTTGACAGAATATAATATCAGTATACATGTTGATGATAGTGAAACTCGGGGAGAGAATTTGCAGATGAATGGTAATCAGGAGCCGTGCCTCTGGTAGAACTATACTCAGTTGATAGACCACCAAGATGGTATTTAGGTTGTAGGTCTGCAGGAGGGTTATAATTGGGATGTCTGCCTGGCGGGTGCACAGGATCCTGGTATGACAAATGCTCATGATATAAAGCATACGGATAAAGGTTTACAACATCTTGGTGCCTTGTCTCCAAATTTACTGGTTGATATTAATGATGCCCTACTAATCCATCTCGTTTGGAATAATCACAATGCTCTATTGCTAGAGCCTCACTTCTGTAAATATCAGGATTCTTTAGCAGTATGTCCCTCCTATAAGCATCATGAGGCTCCACCAGTTGCACCTCTCTGTAAGAATCATGACTCTGTGTCATTGTGTTCCGTCCATGAACACCTATTCCCAAAGTTCTGTTATGTGATTGACCAGTAGCAGATGGTAGTAAATATTGAGGCAAAGCTAATGACACTGGTGCAGTTGTAACTACATTACTTCTGTGCAGACGTGGATATGCATGGTACCTAGACTCTTCCACCCACGTAGCTTGTCGAGCACGTTCAGATTGTCTCTTTTTATTCATATGCTTTCCCGTAATTCTGCCCCTCTTGTCCATAGCACTGGTCTCTGATTTGAGTTGTGCACCCGACTCCTTGGACCCGGACTCTTCGCTAGCATAAATGAAAAGCTTGCACAAGTCCTTCACCTATTCATTAGCAACACATACAAATAAACTGATGGCATGATCCACACAAGGCAAATTTACAATCAACATCCAAACAAGTGTGAGGATTTCAAATAAATGCAAATACAATGTATAGATACCTGTTTTGTTACCATTCACAGAAAAATGTTCAGATACCTGTTAAGGTCAATTTGCAATCAAACTTTGTCCTCGTGTAATAGTTCGTTTTAATCGCTTGCCTAAACTTCTCCTCTGCTAATGGCAAGCAATCTTCAACAACAGAAAAATGAACCTGAAATCATCAGATATATGGTTAAGACAAAATGGCCATTCAAGCAATCATATCCATAAACTGCACAAAACTAATTACCAACACAACACAATTCTTGAACCTAATTTTCATTGAGGGAACAAACCAATAATTACTGTAATATACATGACATTATTGCCGGTTACATAATTAATGTGGAGGCACAATGCGTTCAGTCTCATCTCACAATACAAAACTCACAATACACCACCCTCCCAGCCCCTCGACAACCAGCGACCTCACTAAACTCGCAATATAAAACTCATAGTGCACCACACCCCGGCCCTTGACCACCTGGCACAAGAAGCTATCGTAGGGACGAGCACCGAGAGAAAAATGTGAACTTCTCAAAATTAAAGATAACGTATTGTAGGTAATATGTGATACCTTGGAAAATTTACCTGCATTAAAAGGTAGTTATTATCACTTGAAATTCAAAAAACTGACCAATAGCATGGGAAAGAACAGGATGGTCCTTTGTCGTCATTGGCACACTGATGAACCACGCAGTAGTGCAGTAAGCATGAGTGCAATCACTGTTATAACAAGCTTTTTTACGTGCCCCTATCTCAGATGAAAGTCTAAAGACCTCAAAATGGAAGAACGAGCTCTATTACATGCCCCCAGACTCTATCTTTCGAGATGCTTCACAATCTAAAAGATAGTTTTCTACTGACCTTCTGCCCAACCAATCTCTTATTTTTCACTATCATCCTATAAACATCATAAGGGAAAACAACTAAATAGAGAAAATTTCTAGAACTTCTTGTACTCAGTATACACATGGGACATTATCTTGTAGAATAATTTCAGATTTTAACTACAATAAAAGAAACAAAGGAAAGAATACCTCCTCCCCAAATTGATATACCCAAAAATGGTCACTTGTACAGTTTTGTTCTTTGATATAGGATAATGCACATATTCAATCAATTATATTGCTAATTCAGCTCTTAGTCTCCAGAATAGAGCACAATAATCCACCAGAGAACTAAATTAGGGCATCAGTGCAAAGCATCGACAAAGAATCGTTGTAAATATAAACTGCTCACTAGAAAATATTTTTACCTAAAAGCATGTGTGAAATAGTTTCATAATTATCAAATAACTACAGCTTTTCCAACACTACTTTTCAAGCTCAATCAGATTTATTACGGACGCAAACAAACGTTTTGTTATTCCACAGGGAAAGAAGAAAAAAACGTCAGCAGATACTTTTAGGGAGTCACAGCCTATTGAAGAAAAATGAAGTACCTCAACCTAAATTGAATATAATTCATCTCTATGACCGATTCATCCAAGTAACAATGTCAACAAAATCATAGAGTTAATTTACTGTGCAAATTGCCAAATTCACTACTTAGGAAAGGCCGTGAGTAAAGCAATTACTAGTTCAAACGGAAGAACACCAGAGAAAATAGAGAAGGAAACAGGGTAAGTGGAGGAGGTGGCAAACGAACAAGCTATTACGCAAAATGTTAACATTATTGATAATGTATTCAAGGTCTTATGACTCCATTCTTTAAAGATCCTAGAGATGTTGTTAGCTCTTACCATTTATTGGTCAGAGGCCAGTTTGGTGTTGCATTTTACGACTAGAATTGTTCTTCAAATCAAACAAAGGAGTATAAAATAGTAAAAAGCTGGAGCTCAAAGAGATTCAAAGTCGTACTAGCTGTTAAGTTAAATTCAAAGGTTTCAACGATGACAATATTCAATTACTCTATTTCGCAGGAATCATCAAAAGGAAAGAAAAATAGCTATCTAACGCTGTGATTGCTAAAGCAATGGACCTGAAGAAGGAATCAAAAGCGTGCAGATCTACTCGGCCTCAATCAAGAAAATCAGATTACCAATCAAGGAGTTATTGCCAGCAAATATTCAGTATCCTTAATTAAAGCTCAGTCAAAGGCTTGATTGTCTTATAAATGAAAGTTGTAATAAGGAAAGACACAATCGAATCCGGCCCTTCCCAAAGAGTAGGATTCGAAGAGGCACCCCTGGGTCAAATCTTTTTAAAGATCTCGTGCCTCTATTTCTAGTCAAGACTCAACGGCTCTTTTGCTCACCTATAAGAAGGCTACTACGATCAATTGGAACACTTGTGCAACTACATACATTGTTTTCTAAGTCTCTCTACTTCTTAGCCTAAACACTGTAATCTTAATTTTATAAGTATCTCAAAAGACGGAAGAGTTAGAACACAAAAAAGAGTTGTGTCATTATTAGAGATTCACTGTTGTTGTACTTCGTTGGTGGTGAACGAATCAAAACCATCCTTGTTGTAATACTTTCAAGATCTAAAAGGAACCCTTGTGACCTAAGGAAAACTGGATTCAAGTACCACACCGGTATGGAACTAGTATAAAATTGTTGTATGTCATTCTCTTTCAGTTTACTGTTATTTTACATTTTGCTCTCGATCTAGTCAACTAAAATCATCGTTAGTCGACTAATTTTTTATAGACCACAATTCAACCCCTCCCTCTAGTACTTTCAATTGGTATCAGTGCAAGGCTCACAAACTTTGCTTAACAGCTAGTGGGAAAAAGATCACGGGATCAAACACAGTCGTTGGTGCACTATTTCAAGAGGGAACCTCTCAAGTTCGACCACCATACTTCAATGGACAACACTTCTCTCATTGGAAAGTGCGTATGGAAACATACACCATGTCTTATAACATCAAAGTCTGGCGAGTGATCAAAAAGGGAAATCTTCCAATTCCCCCAAAGAAAGATGAAAATGGTCAAGTAATAGTATCCACTTGACTTAGATGACTACACTGATGAGCAAGCTGCTGTCATAACTGTGATTACCAAAGCAAAAAATCTGCTGTAAAATGCTATCAGTGGTGAAGAATATGAAAAGATCTCAAGTTGTAAAACTGCTAAGGAGATGTGGGACAAATGGAAGTCACATATGAAGGGACCAATAAGGTAAAAGAAACGAGGATAAATCTATTGGTTCGTGAGTATGAGCTATTTCAAATGAAGGACGGAGAATCGCACTCGAATGTCAGGATCTTGATAAAATGTCCTATGATGAACTTAGAGGTGATCTAATAGCTTTTGAGAAAACTCACTTGGATAGACAGATTCAACAAGAAAAGAAGAAAACAGTCGCCTTCAAAGCAACTGTGGCTGAACCAGAAGATGAAGAAGAAAATGAAGGAGGAGAACAGGACGAAAATATAGCCATGCTTTCTCTAGTTGTAACTAGCATGATGAAGAAAAACAGAAATAGAAGAAGAGGTAAACCAAACTTCAGAAAGGGAAGGATAAACAATGAAAATGATGGAAGATGCTATGAATGTGTAAACATGGACACATTGCTGACTGTCCAGAACTAAAGAAGAAGCTAAGCAGGAATATTCAAAGGAAGAAGTCTTTTGGAGCCTGGAGTTTGAAGAAGAGTCTGATCATGAAGAAATTGCAAATATGTGCTTCATGTCCATAGAAGATGATAGTAATGAAGAATTAGGAGAGTGTGGGTTCTTAGGAAACAGAGGAATAAATGAAGAAGAAGACTTAGATCAACTTGGTCTCATGGCAAACGAGGGAACTAGTGAGGTACGTCCCCTAAATTGCCGTAATTGTTATGAACTCCAAGAATTATTGATATTGCTCTTGCATATATTGAACGAGTTCTAAATGAACTCAGAAAGGTTCAAAGAGAAAAGAAAGAATGGGCCCTGAAGCTAGAAGTTTTTGAAATTGAACGTGATATGCTACAGGAAGAAGTTAATGAACTTCAACTTCAATTGAATGGATTGCAAAAATCCACTAGTCATAGTTCAGTCAAATCAAATCAGATTGTTCGTCACAAACAGAAGAAATCTCATGGGTGTTCCTTTTGTGGTAAAAATGGGCATAATACTAACCAATGCAGGAACAGAATCAAGGCAGAAAAAGATTCTGAAAATTTAAATAGTCCATCTTGTTTTTATTGTGGTATAAAGGGCCACACCTCAAATCGCTGCAGGTTTAAGGATAACAGAAGATGGGTCCGGCGACCAAAATCTTGAAATCAAACTAACACTCAGCATTCTAACCTTTCAGGACCCAAGCAAGCTTGGGTACCTAAAAATAAGTAATTTTATTTTACAGGAACACCGCAATAAGAATCGAAAAGGAAAATGATATCTCGACATCGTGTGTTCCAGACATATGACTGGTGACAAATAATTGTTCGAGAGTCACCAAACTAGACGGAGGAATAGTCGCATTTGGAGACAAATCTAAGGGAAATATAATTGGTATCGGAAAAGTTCCTCTAAGCTCAACATGTGATGTAGATGAAGTCTACCTGGATGATGAACTCGTCTACAATCTTCTCAGCATTAGTCAACTATGTGACAATGACTACGAGGTTCGTTTTAAGAAACATGGTTGGTTTATAAGAGATGAATCAGGTAAAGTCATTCTTTCAGGTAACATCGATAAAAATGTCTATACTATTAGCAACCTAGATAATCTTGGGATCAAATCTGTCTTACTTCTATAATTGATGATCCCTGGGTCTGGCATAGAAAACTTGGTCATGCCAGCATGCATACCATTCAAAAGCTTTCTAAACATGATCTCGTTATTGGACTTCCTAAACTAGATTATTCAAAGGATCATATTTGTGATGCATGTCAACTAGGAAAACAAACTCGCTCATCTTTCAAAATCAAGAATTTTGTTTCCACCTTAAAACCTCTCCAACTATTGCATATGGATTTATTTGGTCCAACTAGAACTGCTAGTATAGGTGGTAGAAAATATGCTTTTGTTATTGTGGATGATTTCTCTAGATTTACCTGGGTTATGTTTTTGAGTCATAAAGATGATGCTCTAAAGAATTTTGAGGTTTCTGTCAGAAGGTTCAACAAGAAAAGGGTTACTACATCTCTTCTATCAGAAGTGATCATGGAGGAGAATGTGAAAGCAGAGCTTTTGAAAACTTTTGCAACGATCAAGGAATCTCTACAACTTCTCTTCACCAAGATCTCCGCAACAAAATGGAGTGGTAGAGCATAAATATAGAACCCTACAAGACATGTCAAGGACCATGATTGTGAAAAATTCTCTACCTCACCATTTCTGGGCAGAAGAGGTAAGCACAACTTGTCACATTATCAATAGGTGTCTGATTCGACCTATTCTCAAAAAGACTCCTTATGAACTATGGAATGGTAAGAAACCCAATATTATCTATTTTCACCCGATTGGATGCAAATGCTTCATTCACAACAATGGAAAGGATAATTTGGGTAAGTTCGATCCTAAAAGTGATGAAGGTATATTTCTTGGTTACTCTCCTTCAAGTAGAGAATATAGAGTTTACAATAAAAGAACTCTTTGCATTGAAGAATCAATTCATGTTGTTTTTGTTGATACTAACCCTCGTCCAAGGAATGAAAAATTTCCTGAATATGAGGAATTCCTTTTATCCCTAAATCTGTCATTACAGGAAAGGATCATCAAAGTGAATCAGCTGATCAGCAAACTCAACCAGCTGAAGAGTCTGTAGAAATTCATGAATCATCTCAAACAGACCAATAGACTAACTTAGAAAGAGATCCTCCCTCAAACACCCCAAATGAATGGAAAAGAAAACCTGGCTATCCTCACAAGTTTATTATAGGAGATCCACGGGAAGGAATCACTACAAGAAGATCTCAGAAAAACAAATCTCATGTGGCTCTTATTTCTCAACTTGAGCCAAATAAAGTGGATGAAGCTCTGAAAGATACTCACCGGATAAGTGCTATGAAAGTGGAACTAGATCAATTTGAAAGAAACAAAGTATGGGAATTGGTTCCAAGACCTTCCAACTCCTCAATCATTGGAACTAAATGGGTATTCAGAAATAAATTGAATGAATCAGGTCAAGTGCTTCGAAATAAAGCATGATTGGTTGCTCAATGATACTCTCAGCAAGAAGGAATTGACTATGACGAAACCTTTGCTCCTGTAGCAAGACTTGAATCCATTCGAATATTACTTGCATTTTCTGCTCATAAAGGTTTCAAGCTATTTCAAATGGACGTTAAAAGTGCGTTCCTAAATGGCTACATCTCTGAAGAAGTATATGTAAAGCAACCACCAGGATTTGCAAACCTCACCTTTCTTGATCATGTATACAAGCTGACTAAAGCGTTGTATGGTCTCAAACAAGCTCCGCGTGCCTTGTATGAAAGGTTAAGCTCTTTTCTTTTAAATCAAGGGTTCAAAAGAGATGCATATTTTGCAGGTGACAAAACTGATAGGAAAAACACTAGTGGCATGTGTCAACTCTTGAATGCATAGTGTCTTGGCATAGCAAGAAACAAAATTGTGTTTGCCCTATCAATGACTGAAGCAGAATATTTAGCTGTCGGCTGTAGTACACAAGTTCTATGGATTATGCATCAACTTCTCGACTATGATTTATATCTTACCTCTACTCCTATATTTTGTGATAATACCGGTGTTATTTGCTTATCAAAAAATTATGCGCATCATTCTAGAGCAAAGCACATAGAAATTAAGCATCATTTATCCGTGATCATGTCGCTAAAGGTGATATTGATTAGAATTTATTAGTACTGATTCTCAACTTGCCGATATTTTTACAAAACCACTTTTGAAAGAAAGATTTTTTTTTCTCAGGAAAAAGATTGGCATTTTGCCAAATTTGTAAATCAAATCTTTTTACCGTGTTCTAAAATATTTTGTTTCCTTAAGTATGTGTGGCTTAATTAATTTTTGTATAGGTGTAATAATTGCTTCTTCATCAGTGCCGCCGATCAGTCACTTCAGAACCATCACTTCCTTCTGAACCCGCCTTTTTCTTTAACCAAGGTGACCCTTCATTACTCCAAAAGCATCGATAAAATCCCTCACATCTCTGTTACTCTCTTCATTCTTATCAAACAAACCTTCTCACCATGGCCAAAAGAAATCCCTCTTCCTCCACTGCAACTAGACGAAGCCGAAGGTTTCAAAAACCCTCAACCCTGAAGAACCTGTAGATTTGGAGTCATCTATTGACTCAGA